TATAGGATGTAAAAGCAATCATTTCTCTTTCTCTCTGTGTGCATTCCTGCACTCATTGAGAAATACTGAGTGAGCTGTGATTGGTCACAGCTTGTCACATGGTACAAGGCTGTTGTGAATAGCCCCATGTGACCTCTGTGATCAATCACAGAATTCACACGTAGTAAGCAATGATGTCACAAGTGACATCTTGCTTACTACTTTGCATGTGATCACTGATTGGCCAATCAGTGATCACATGATCGGGACCTCGTACAGAGGTCCCGTCCGACGATCGGTGTTTCACTGTGTCCGGAGGACACAGCGGGCACCGGATCGCGGTGCTGCGCGCTCCCAGGGAGCGCGCACAAGCAGGGTGCGGGGAGGCCGTTTATAGACGGCCACCCGACCCTGCACTGCCACCGTCCGGCTGTTTATATACAACGGCCGGTCGGGAAGTGGTTAAGCAGACCCAAACACCCCATAGTTAAGGAGGCCTCTAAAATCCAGGGACAATGCATTACAAAAATATAAGATGAAGGTGAACTATCTCAACTCACTAACTGTAGCATACCTGCAGTGTTTGCCAGATAGCACAAGAAGTTCACTCACTGGCTTGACTTGTTCCCTAAAAACTCCTTTTTAACATGTAAGTCTATGCTAGGTAAAGATGAACACACTTTACAGAAAGTTTGCAGTAAATAAATAAAAATGTACCCATGAGCAGGATCCAAGGCTATGGCTCTGGGCTGATCCAGATCTTGCCAAAAGAGGACTTTTCTTAATGTGCCATTGAGGTTAGCAACCTCTATCCGGTTGGTTTCAGAGTCCGTCCAATAAAGTTTCTTGCCAATCCAGTCACAAGCCAGACCATCTGGGGACACCAGGCCAGAGATGATGACATGTTGCAAGCTCTTGCTCTGATTATATGAGATTCCCTTTATCGACTCTTCACTGACATCGGTCCAATAGATGAGCCCTTGAGAATAAAAAAAGTCCACAGCCGCTGCATCTTCCAAGCCACTCACCACTACTGTGGAATCCAATTTTGTGCCACCAGCATCAACTAATCTGACATCTCGACGATTGGCAAACAACAATAATGGAGATGCTGAAAAGATAAAGAACAAGCACATATCAGATTTGTTAGCCATTAAATTAAACGGCAGCTCTAAACCCATTCACTAAAACCCTATGTGAACTTTACAAGTTAGTGTCATTTCTAAAGTTTCTTTCAAATTTTAAAAACATGCAGCTTTCATTATAATATCGGATGATCCTGCCATAAAAGTAACGTTTAGGCACCAACTGCTGGGGTGACAACAGTCTTCGATTTTTTGCCTGTGTTTCACCATGTCACATGATTCAGTGGTGACTACAAGCAGCCATGGTGACACTCATTGTGCAATCATGGTTCACCATCATTATTAGAAAACTGCCCATGACCTTTATCCCTGAATTGTCTATAAACGCTGGTACCACTCAGTACAGTGTCCAGCCACAGATTGCCATAAACGTTGACAGTATGCCTGCAGTGTGGCTGGCACTAAAATGCTGCGAGGGACACACTGCAAGCTGCAGCATGTGCAGGAGGATGTTCAGGTCACATCAGTTTGAACATCTGTCAGTAGATCTAGAAGGATGACTTCATTTTATATCAACTTACATCCATTTATATATAAAACACAAAAAACCTGCACTTGGATGTAACCACACTCTAAATTCAAGAAAGCATTAGAGTAAGAAAAAGCAGCTTGCACACAAAAGGCAAATTTAAAAGTGAATAACAAAATGCATTAAAATATCAACATATCAAGTCCAAATAAATCCTCAAATAAAAGACAGGTTGCAGGAGAAGATTCTGGTATCATAAACCATCACCAAACACACAAATAAATAAGCCCCTTACCGGACGTTCAGACTGTATAATATTGGTCAATATGCGCAGTACATAAGGAATCAATGAGACAGGTAATTTTTCACCAAAAATCCTCCTTAAAAAGGTGATGAAATGTTTCAAACCGAAAATATGGCTGCCGTCCTTCCAGAACGTAACGGGGTGACGTCACACGCCGAAGCTCCAGCCAACGCGTTTCGTCATCAGGGGCCAAATTTTCGGTTTGAAATATTTCACATTCAATGTTGGTTGTTTTAATGTTTGATGTATGTAGATCCTTTATTAAATTTGTCAAAACATTACTGAAATACTACACTATGAGTTGCTTTTGTTTTATATCCCTTATTTGAATATTGGATAGGAATTTTTACAGCTTTTGAAGATCTTTAAAGAGGAGGAGTATTCATCACCTTAAGGAGAATTCTTAGTGAAAAATTACCTGCCTCATTGATTCCTTATGTACTGGGCATATTGACCGATATTACACGGTCTGAGCGTCCGGTAAAGGGCTTATTTATTCGGGTGTTTGCTGACAGTTTATGATGCCAGAATCTTCTCCTGCAACCTGTCTCATTTATTTGAGGATTTATTTGGGCTTTTATGTTGATATTTTAATGCATTATTGATTAGCGCTGCATTTTTGTTATTTACATACATTTATGTCCAATCTTTTCTGCGAACAAACGTACTCGGAAGTAAGCACATGTAAATTGACAAATGTCTGTTTACATCCGCCCACCCCTAAAACACACATTGTGGCTTAGTCTGGATCCATCTGTAAAACTGAACATCCAGGTGAACGGACCAATGCAGCTAAAAAATAGCTGTACATCCCAAGGCCATCTAAGGTCTATGGCAAAGGTGTCAAACTGCGGCCCTCCAGCCGTTGAGAAACTACAAGTACCATCATGTCTCTGCCTTTGGGAGTAATGCTTTCAACTGTCAGTCCTGCAATGCCTCATGGGATTTGTAGTTCCGCAACAGCTGGGACACGGTTTGACACCCTTGGTCTATGGGCAGCCTGAACAGCAAATGGAATTTTTGAACAAGAGATCAGCTGTGTAGGAAATGAGTGTCAGCTTCAAAGCATCTGAGGAAATGTTAAATTGACTCGGTATTTGCAAGCTCTTCATCATACCTTCAACCAGGGCTTTTTGCTCAGAGAGTAGGTACAGGAACTTCCCCTTCTGAATTACTTGTTGTCTCCGGCCCCTATTCACCTCTGAGCACTGTCCCTTGGTTCCACCCCCTATGCACCTCCCAGTACTGCTACTTTGAGAGAATAAAGAATCAGGGATCATTTTGTGGTGCTAAGTAATTTGTATGGAATTTGGTAATGATAAAAGCAGTAAAGTAGATCCCCTGCAGCCAGCAGCAATAGACCCCCCCCCCCTTCCTCCCCAAGCAACAATGGACTCCTGCAACAAAATACCACCCAAACAATAGAACCAGAAACAGCAACAACAGATCTCACAGCAGCCAGCACCAACAGACTCTCCAGCTGCCAGCAACAAGAGACCCCTCCCCTCCACTAGTAGATCCCTTCCAGCAACAGTGGACCCCCAGCAACAATAGATCCACCAAAAGCAACAATAGACCACCATGCAAAAAATAGATCCCCCTGTAGTGACGATAGAACCCTCTGCAAACCAGGATCAATAGACCTTACTGTGTACATCCAGCACCCCTTGCCATTATATACATTCAGTGCTGGAGGTGCCGGAACTGTATTCCCCCACATTGCCTCTAAAAGAAAAAAAAAAAAAAGCTCTGCCTTCATAAGTTAAAGGATAAGTTCACCTTTGGGAACATGTCACATGTTCCACCTGTTTTTAGGGTGGAATATGTAACATATTCCCAACACTGCAGCCGCTGCCTGATCCCCCCCCCCCCTCCTTGTGACAGAAGTATAGCAGACATCCCCTGTACTATTATTCAGAATGTATCTAGCGCCAACAGTTTACACAGTGCTTTACTAGCGGTCAGTTTTTTATTGCTCAACGCGGCCGTGTCATTCATTCACAGAGTTCTGTGAATTAACTACAAATCCCAGCAGTCTTAGCAGCTGTCAACTTGCAGCCCTCAATGAACTACCACAGCATTATGGAGTACCGTAGTAGTTCATGGATTCTTCCTGTCCATATATCTCCTTGTCCGAAACATCCCGTAAGGTAAAGCAGATATACTGACAGGTCAGACTGTGCCTGTATCATCTAGAGTTTATAGCCAGCTGACCAATCACTATCTTTACAATTCGGTCATAAACCCTTTTGCCATAGACACACCAACTTCTTTATCCTGTACACATGGGTGTGTGTAACTAATTACTTAAGCAGGTAGACAGGTGAAAATAAAGTTGGATTAATTTTAATTTTTTTTTTTTAATATGAGCGCTTAGACTGCTGTCCCGTACACACAAAGAGAGCATTGGACAAATTATCGTCCATTTTTTTTTTTTTTTTTTGCATGCTAGTCTCATCTCGAAAATGAAGAGGTTACTGAAGTTATGAAAATTCTCGTACAACAGAATACAACTTCGGAAGTGCAGTAATGTCTTGTATTCTTTCGTTTCCAGACATGCGTGGTCTTGGTCTCTCAATTTTTTGAGCACGAATACTGAACTGATTTAACGAAAATAGTTATCTTACGAGAAAAGGTTTCATGCTTGTCCATTTGGATATTGTCGCATGAACTGTTGTGATCAGCTGTGTACTAAATCAGATTATCATAAATCCCTACGAAAGTGATTTTTTTGTCCAATTTTCTCATTGTGTGTACGGGGCATAAACCCAGTGGATGGGGCGAAACGTGGCAGTGGGTGTGGCCTGGGCAGAGCTGGGCTATGGTTGCTTCTACTATAGTGATTGTTGGGTCCTGATGGTGTGCAGCACTTGGGGTAGTTTCTTTCTTTTGTACTGCAAGTTTTGGGGAAAAAAAAAAACAATTTACAACTCTCTTAACCATTTGCCGTCTGCTGTATATAAACGACCAGACGGTGGCAGTGCAGCAGTGAGTCTACCATTCATAAATGGCACCTGCCATTTTGGATTGTGCGTGCTCCCTGGGAACGCGCGACACCACGATCTCTGTATGGGACCTCTGCGAGGTCCCAATCAGTGATCACATGAAGAGTAGTAAGCAAGAGGTCACTTCTGACATCATTGCTTACTATGTGTGAAATCTGTGAATGATCACAGAGGTCACATAGTACAAGGCTATTCACAACAGCCTTGTACCATGTGAAAAGCTGTGACCAATCACAGCTCACACAGTATTTCTCAATGGCTGCAAGAATGCAGCCAGAGAGGAGAAATGATTGCTTTTACAGCCTATATGGGTGTAAAAAAAAAAAAAAAAAAAAAAAATATCATCATCCCTCACAAGTAGTACAGTGTCACTATGGTGACACTGTACTGCTAGGGTGACAGTATTTAAAAAAACAAAAAAACAAATACAAATAAAAAAATGTAAAATAAATTATAATTTTTGATTATAAACTAATTTGGGTTATTTTTTTTTACTAAAAAGATAACTAAATAAATTTTGTCCAAGATTTATGAAGAAAGATTATTTATCCCAGCCACAGCACTCCCTGCCTGGAGTTTGCATGTTCTCCCTGTGCCTGCGTGGGTTTCCTCCGGTACTCGGTTTCCTCCATGCTGGTAGGTTAATTGGATCCTGTCTAAATTGGCCCTAGTATATATGAATGCGAGTTAGGGACCTTAGATTGCACACCCCTTGAGGGTTAGGGACTGATGTGAATGTAATTATATATATATATATATATATATATACATACACATACATACATATATTACATACATACATATACACACACATATATAGCGCTGCCTAAATTGACGGCGCTATATAAGTACCTTAAATAAAGACTTGCATATTTTTATAAGAAACACTTTTTTTCAGCATTTTTGGACTTTCATTTATATAGCAAAAAAAAATAAAACTCCCAGTGGTGAATAAATACCACCAAAATAAAGTTTTATCTGTCTCAAAAAATGCTAAAAAATTCATATGGGTACAGTGTTGCATGACTGTGCAATTTCAAAGTGCGACAGCGCTGAAAGCTGCAAATTGGCCTGGAAAGGAAAGGGGTAAAAGTGTCTGGACATGAAGTGGTTAAGAGGTCAAAATGTTGACAATGGCCGCAATACATCTGTAAAGAATAATCGATGAAATGATCCTCTCCGATGCCTTACAAGGTCACTGGGCCACACCGAAACATACACAAATGATCTCAAGGATTTTAAATGATTCAGTCTAATTATGGATATCCAAACAAGGATGCCACAGCACCACTTCAAAGCATGCCAAGGCAAACGGCAAAATAAAGCACACGACTTCTCGATGATCAGTATTGTTTACATAATATGGTACCTGTCAGGCTGCATCAGTACAAGATACAACCGCCGAGAGTTCACCTAGGGATTCAAATACTGTTCTATGAAATCGCACGGCACAAAACAAAAACTCCAAAACAAGTGGCAGGCAAATGAAAAACGTAAAAGCAGCAAGGCCTTGGCTGTTCTCCCAAACAAGCATGTGCAAAGGGCTGAGAATCAGACATCTGTATGAAGCAAATGTTTTCCACCATCATATGGAAGCCAGAGTATGAACGCAGGACAAAACGTGACAATACTGACGCATGGAGAACAAGTCCGGAATTCCAAAAACAACCAACAATAGACATGCAAAAGGGAACATGTTCAGCCTAGACAAGGAGGATAAAGACGGAAGCAGCGCAGCACTTTAACTACAACAAAACTATTCCAGTGCAGCCAAACTAGATTTTCCTGAGCTCAGCCTGTTACAGCTGTTACTTTTTACAATGTGTCAGTCATGCTCGGCCCATCCTGTTTAACAGCAAAGAAAAGATGTACAGCTTATATAAAAGAATACATAGAACAAGTTTGTATTTGCTTTTCACCAGATAAGCCTCATTGCTATACAATTGTATTTCTTTTGTTTTCTCCTTGAAAAAAAAGCAGCTGTTGATCTGGCAAAGGATTTGTATATCTGTCCATCCAGTCTTGTGATTAACACAGCTTTGCCACACAGCACAGTCCCATTTGGCAGCACAGGGTTTTCAATTTTTCTCTGTACAGAAAGGCAGAACTCCAATATAACTGAATAAAAAATATGCATTTCTGAGCGATCGTCCGATAATCTGATCATCAGTACACAGCTTTCGAGAGCCCATCCCAACAGCTAATGCAGAATTATCTGAAGGACCAAGCATGAAAATTGTTCTCATACGATAACAGAAAGAACGTTTTACGTTTAAGCAGTACAGTGTTCGTCCATATAAAAATCGAGTGACCAAGACCTCGCATGTGGTACAATACAATCATTGCGGGAGTTCTATTCTAACGAGAATTTTTGTAAATTTAGTAACCTATTCATTTTGATATGAGACTAGAATGCAAAAAATAAATAAACCATCCAATGTTCTCAACGTGCGAATGAGTCTTAAAGCCAACCAACCCTGCTACTGGTTTTTCTTTTGTACCATATACTCAGGGGTTAAAATTTCGAGTCCAGACCTACTAGCCGGTCACAAAACTTACTCTCCACCAGTTGCCCCACCCAACCTTGCCCAGGTCCGCCCCCAAACCCACCCCTGCCCCAAACCCCACCCCCCAAACCACGCCCCCTTAAAGCTTATGAAATTCAATTTTTCTTTAGAAGAGTCCAAAATATAAAACTGTACACAGTAATGTATATCCCAGCTCCCCTGTACTCCATGATAGTGATATGACATGTATACAGTAATGTATATCCCAGCTCCCCTGTACTCCATTATAGTGATATGACATTCATACAGTAATGTATATCCCAGCTCCCCTGTACTCCATGATAGTGAATGACATTTATACAGTATGTATATCCCAGCTCCCCTGTACTCCATTATAGTGATATGACAAGTATACAGTAATGTATATCCCAGCTCCCCTGTAATCCATTATAGTGATATGATGTGTATACAGTAATGTATATCCCCCTCCCCTGTACCCCATTATAGTGATATGACATGTATACAGTAATGTATATCCCAGCTCCCCTGTACCCCATTATAGTGATATGACATGTATACAGTAATGTATATCCCAGCTCCCCTGTACTCCATTATAGTGATATGACATGTATACAGTAATGTATATCCCAGCTCCCCTGTACTCCCATTATAGTGATATGACATGTATACAGTAATGTATATCCCAGCTCCCCTGTACTCCATTATAGTGATATGACATGTATACAGGATGTATATCCCAGCTCCACTGTACTCCATTATAGTGACATGACGTGTATACAGTAATGTATATCCCCCCTCCCCTGTACTCCATTATAGTGACATGACGTGTATACAGTAATGTATATCCCCCCTCCACTGTACTCCATTATAGTGATATGACATGTATACAATAATGTATATCCCCCCTCCCCTGTACTCCATTATAGTGATAGTGAGTATGACATTATAGTATATGACATGTATACAGTAATATATCCCAGCTCCCCTGTACTCCATTATAGTGATATGACATGTATACAGTAATGTATATCCCAGCTCCCCTGTACTCCATATATAGTGATACATGTACATTATATGTATGACAGTAATGTATATCCCAGCTCCCCTGTACTCCATTATAGTGATATGACATGTATACAGTAATGTATATCCCAGCTCCCCTGTACTCCATTATAGTGATATGACATGTATACAGCTACTCCTGTACTCCATTATAGTAGTGTATGACATGTATACAGTAATGATATATATCCCAGCTCCCCTGTACTCCATTATAGTGAAATGACATGTATACAGTAATGTATATCCCCAGCTCCCCTGTACTCCATTATAGTGATATGACATGTATACAGTAATGTATATCCCAGCTCCCCTGTACTCCATTATAGTGATATGACATGTATACAGTAATGTATATCCCAGCTCCCCTGTACTTCATTATAGTGATATGACATGTATGCAGTACTTACTCCTAGTCCCTCGAAGTCCCCCGCAGCAGTGGAGAGGGTGTCTCCTCTCAGCGGAGGAGAGCGGACCACTCCTGCACCTGTCCCCTCACCGGCAGTGCCGCAGAAGCCGGAAGCCAGAACTTGGCTTCACAATGAGGCTTGGAGCGCAGGTGCAGTCACTCCATGCTTTATCTGTGCTCGCCACAGAGGAACTTCTCCTCGCATTTGGCGAGCGACTTTTTCAAGCCCCGATATACTTATTTATTCTTCTGTAGTCTGATTACGTCACATGTCCTTCAGTGGACATCGCCCTTCCTGGACTGAGTGGTGCTCATCTGACAATGTGTGAGCCCAGAGTCATGACATACCTCTGTTGTCCGCAGCATCCTGGATTTGCAGCAAATATGCTGAATGAAAGACTGTTGCTCAGCCTGGAAGGGAAAGGACAGAGCTGAACAGAAGAAGGTGGAGGGGACAACGCTGCATCATAGAGACAATAAGTAGTCCTTGGATACATTTTTATTATTTTTTTTTAGTTTGGTGGGGGCAGGAAATTTAAATAAAAACAATTCACAAGTTCCACCTTAAGGCTGATTTCACACTGATCCGCTTTTCATACGTTCTTCAGTTTAAAAAAAAGCAGAAGAGCGGAAGAAAACTTCATCCCTTTAAAGTGGTTGTAGAGGCTGAAGGTTTTTTATCTTTTACGCATGAAGGTAATGAAAACTTCTGTGTGCAGCAGCGCCTACTTACCTGAGCCTCAGTGCGATCCAGCAATGTGAATGACAGCTTCGGCTGTCACGGGTCTCTGCTTCCTCATTAGCAAAAACAGCAAGCTGTCAATCACAGCCAGTTAGCCAATGAAGAAAGACGGGGGTGGGGCCAAGCCGCAGCTCTGTGTGGACATAGAGCAGCGGGTGCCCCCATAGTAAGCTGCTTGCTGTGGGGGCACCGGACAGACAGAAGGAGTCAGGAGAGACTGCAGGTGACCCGAGGAGGATCCAAGCTGCTCTGTGCAAAACCACTTCACACAGCAGGTAAGTATAGACATGTTTGTTATTTTATATTAAAAAAAATTAACCTTTAGAATCACTTTAAACCCTTGTGGTTCTCTAAACACTGATTCACTGCGCTTCATTTGCAGTGAAAAAATCCTAAAATCCTGCTTGCTGCATTTTTGGTGCATGTTTGTTCAGGCAAAAAAAAAACGCATTAAAAAAAAAAACACACCCCTCCACTGAAATGAATGAAAAGCGCATAAAAAAAAAAAAAAAAAACACAATGCACCTGTGGGAAGTGCTTTGTCCAGTGGGGAAAAACTATGCAAACGCATATGCATTTTTGCTGAGTTTAAGCAGAGC